CATAGCTAAGATTTGGAAACAGCCTAAGTGCCCATCAGCAGATGAGTGGATTAAAAAACTGTGGTACATCTATACAATGGAATACTACACTGTGGTAAAAAAGAAGGAATTCTTACCATTTGCAACTGTATGGATGGAACTGGAGAGCATTATGCTAAGCGAAATAAGCCAGTCAGAGAAAGATAAATATCACATGATCTCACTCATTTGTGGAATATAATGAACAACATAAACTGATGAACAAAAACAGATCCAGCCCTAGCTGGTTTGGCTCAGTGGATAGAGCTTCGACCTGCGGGCTGAAGGGTCCCAGGTTCGATTCCAGTCAAGGGCATGTACCTTAGTTGCGGGCACATCCCCAGTAGGGTGTGTGCAGGAGGCAACTGATCGATGTGTCTCTCTCTTCGGTGTTTCTAACTTTCTATCCCTCTCCCTTCCTCTCTGTAAAAAATCAATAAAATATATATTTAAAAAAACGAGAAAAAAAAAAACAGATCCAGAGACAGAGAAGCATCGATCGAACTTTCAAATCTCAGAGGGAAGGTAGGGGAGGGTGGGGATAAGGGGGGACAGATCAACCAAAGGACTTATATGCAAGCATATAGGCCTAATCAATGGACACAGACAACAGGGGGGTGAGGGCATGAGTGGGGGGATAAGGACACATATGTAATACCTTAATCAATAAAGAAAAAAATTTTTAAGTAATAAATAAAATAAAATAAAATTAAAAACATCTGTAATGCTTTGAACAATAAAGATAAATAAAAAAAGAAATAAAAAACTTTATGTTCAAAGGTGTCTCTTAGCTGAAGACACTTGTCAGGCCAAGTCATCATGCAGCAGCTCTAGCCTCTTTAGGATTTTGATCATGTCCCCTGGCTACCTCTATATTGTTGGACTGAAAGAGTCTTTTTTTTTGAGCCTGACATTGATGGCTTTAATTGCCCTTCTTTGTTCACCTTAGGCTCTGTTCTGTCCTTGACATGTGTAGATCAGAGCTGCTTGTGTAACTTCACCCATGAAGATGTCCTGTGGTTCTGTGTAAAAGGAGAATTATTGTGTTTTTCTCTTACTCCATTTGACAGTGCCCAACATTTTGTTACCCTTTTTTTATGCCATAACAGGAAACTAGGTTGTTCTCCTCAGTGCTCTGCACACAGAGTTTCCTATAGTTCTTTCCTGAAAGGTTAGCACTCATAATTCTGCAAGAGTAGTTTGTAATATTGGCCCTCCCTAAATGGACTACCTTATGTATGCCCCTATTGAAGCCCATCTGCCAATCATAAAGCCTCCTGAGACCTTCCTTAAGCGCCCATCAGCTTGGTACTTCACTGCCGGGAAATGCTGTGTGTCATCTACAGACTTGAGGATTTCCCAGTGGCCACCCCCAAGGAAGTCTACTATTTGCCCTTCTTCAGTCACGAAAATGTCTATTTCTCCCCTATATTTTCTTTTTTTCTCTGTCTCTTAACTAGTTGTTACTATATGATAAGGAAAAAAATATTTTAAATTCTATGATAATTCATATTTAAAAATAGCCTTGGCACCAAAATTAATTAGAAGCATTTTAAAAGTGAGTTTAGTCCCGAAAAAAGATGCATGGAAGATCATACATGATTTCTCTTTACAGAAACCCTGTTACCACTCCAGCCCTAATGTACAGGAGGCCAGCATTTATTAAAGATTCTTCCAGCTTGCCTACTAAAGTACTAGACACTCATCAGTGTGTAGTTCCCAGGCCCCTTTTGCACAATGATCATCCAGGATAACAGGTTCCAGGTTTTCATCAAACGTACAATAATTTTTCCCTTTGATTTCTTTTGGGAGTCAAGTCTGGTCAGGGTGTTATATGAAGGCACCGCTCTATTCAAGGGTGGCAGGGAGCCTTTCTGACCCAACATCTTTCCCATCTGTTAGACTAATAAGCTGAAGTTTCTTTAACAAAAACATACTTTTATTCTACAATTAGAAATTGTCCTTAAAATGGAATTTTGTTACAACCTATCCTCCTTACCCGCACTCTGCCATTAGGTGTATGGTTCTCACAGCACTTTTTTTTCACAGCAGATTTTGAAAGAGTTAGGGCATGAGCACCTTGAGCATTTAGAGGAGCAGGAATGGGTAACAGAACAGTAGAGGGAAAGGGAAACAAAAACAAATCTTTACAAACTAAATAGTTTTGCAGAGGAAGAATCCTGGTAACTGTATCACTTAGTTCCAGTTGCTTGTGACTACCTCTAGTTTGTTGCTTGGAACCAGAGTCTCTTGCACATTTCCCATTATGACCTCTGACCCATTGCATACCTCAAAAGATATAGTAGACATAGGAGTGACTTATGTAAAAAAAGTTATTTGGTATATCTTCTATCTCTTTTTCATCTTTTTTGTTCCACGAGCCCACTGGTTTTCTGGATCACTCCTTACCTGAGACAAATAAAGCACCCCTTTATTGCCAATTCACTTACAAGATGCTGTAAGTTTTGTTTGCCACTGATTTGTAGTTTGTTTCTGGTAACTGCCTCTCCCTGTGGGATTCATGAGCCCTTTTTCTCTTACTTCCTTCTGCCTCTTTTCCCTCTTTCCTCTCTTTCCTCCCTAACCTCCTTCCGTCCCTCCCTCCCTCCCTCCCTCCCTCCCTCCCTTCCTTCCTTCCTTCCTTCCTTCCTTCCTTCCTTCCTTCCTTTCTTTCTTTAACATTTTTTCCTCTTCTATATTCTTTATGACTTTGCTAGCTAGTTGGCAGGACTTAGTGGTTTCATCTTAAAGTTGAAAATACTCCCTTCATTTAAAAAATGGTTAGGACTTCTTTTTTAATAGGCCAGATATAGAATCTTTACATGAATGTTTTCAACACCAAAAGACCTTGGGTTCCATTTTATGTAAAAGAGAATTTCACAGTCATAGCTTCCTATGTCATTCAATACTAATTTAGAAGGGTAAGAGTCACTGATTGCCAACAGCTTACCATAATTTCCATGTGAGCTACTAGAGTTGGGATTATAAGTATAACCCTGTTATAACTAGCATAGAAGAACATCAACATTGTTCTTGAAAGTACACTTCCTTCAGATAGAAGCTATGCCCCAGTATAGAGATGATAGAGATATATAATATTCTAGAGGTTTATTTAATTTGGACGTTCACACCACTCCTCAGCCACATGCACATATACACACAAAATTTGATGGGGGAGGAAGGCTATTTTGCCTAAGGGAGGATTAGCTAGTTCCAAAGCTATTTCATCTGAAAGAGGAAATACTACTTTACCTGTTTGCTCTGTAATTGTATTTGAATGCAGTGTGAGATAGTCTTAATAGTGTTTAAGTTATTGCCCAAAATGCTTTGTTGATGACTTTGTGAGTGTTTATAATTAAGGACTGTGGAAGACGACAGTGACAAGTACTTCCTTGCTGTTGGTTCAAGAGAGGTTTTGATAAATAGTGGGATACCAGTCTGAACTTCAAATCTTGCAGGATGACCAAACTACTCACCCACTGTGAACTATCATGGTATATGTATAGTTTGAAGAAGAAAATCAGAGTTGTGCTTAAACTTCCTAGTTTGTATCCTACCTATAATTTTATAGCCCAACAGCCAGAGAGCAATTTTTATTCCATGTCCAATTATTAGTATATATCTCACAGGA